GTGAGGAGGGTAGACGTTGGTTAACAGCTTGCCTTTCATGAAAAACAACATTTTTGGTACTGCTTCTGGCAGGGCTGCACCTGGTTATACACGAGATGCATCAATATATGCATCACATATTCAGAGCTCTTTGAGCTCCAAAAATCCTAGGGTTCTGTTTATTTATGCCACCTTCTGCAGTTCACACCTATTGCTTACCAAAATGAATAGTCTGTATAGAGTCCTGCCTTCAGCCATCACCTTGCTAACATTGCAGACAGAGAATTGGTGACTCACAGCCCACCAGTAACCTCCTGTAGTAGTGGGAGAGAGGGCAAATGTTGGGCTCCCTTGGAATGGGTGGAGAGAAACTGGGTCCTGCAGGTGAAATAGGTTCTGGAGAGTCTGTGTGGGAGTGGAAACAGTAAAGGCAATAGGGTAGAGGAACTGAACCTGGAGAAGATGGAGGGGGAAAGGGAATGAGAGCAGAAGGAAAACTAGAAGGTTTGGGCTGATTCTGGGAGGAAGAGAGCTGGATCCATGTCTGAGAATCAGTTAAGGGTTTACAAGGATATCAGAAGAAGTGACAAAGAAGCTTAGAAATGGGGGCAGGGTGAGAACAGCTGTAACCTCTTCTTGGTTACAGGAGTGCCCAGGCAGGCCTGCAATTAATGAGGAAGGGAGCAGGCAGTCTTTGGGAGTTGCGGGAGAAGAGAAAACAAAATGTCAGCTAGAAGAAAGTTAAGGTAAAGGGAGGGAGAGCTGAAAGTGGAGCCAGTACCAGTCAGGTGGTTTGAGTGCACTTGCTTTCCCTGGTGGTCCCACATGCTCCATTGTTAAAAGAGGTACGGAGGGGGCTCTCCCGTAATTAAGGATTAGACTCTGGGTGGAAAACATTTCTGCCCTTATCTTCTAGTGATGGGGAATGGCTACCCAATCAGCCAGCTGCATGCTGAAAGCAGTGGGTGCTGCAGCTGTGTGCCAGTGCAAGCCAGAACAGGCTCATGGGTCTTCAGGGGACCTTCTGTCCTCTTAATTCGTTGCTGTGCCCACTGTGTGGAGCACAAGTTTTTATAGTGAAGAGTGCGTGCTGAGGTATGACTTGCTGCCCAGACTAGCATGCCCTGGAGCTTTTGCTGTCTCTAAACTCAGAAATCACAGTGACATGAACATGCTTCTAAGGCTTGTGCTCAGGAGACGAGTGTGGGAATTACAATTCCTGCATTTGGAGAAGAAATGGTGTATGTTATTACAGCAGCTATTTCAACATCCTGCTAGATGCATATCTGAAGGGACGGAAAAGTCTATCCCAAATGCTGAAGGATCAAATACTATGGTCTACATGAGTGACCATGGCCAATGATATTGGATTATACTACAGCAGGAGCTGTCATTTGCGAAAAAATAATGCAAAATCTGTGAGGTAATGCTGGGAAGTGAGTTTTACCAAGTATTAGGGGGTTGGGCTCACAAACCCATTGTGGTTCTTTGGTGTTCAAAGGCAAGAGTCTCTGTGCTTTAGTGGCTCTGTGTGGGCTTCTATGTAAATGACCTAACTAAGCCATGGCCCAGAGAGTGGACTCCTGCTGACCTCCAACATCATCCACTCCAACTTGTTAAGCAGCCCAGCTGTGTTCTGCTGTGGGGACTGCACAAGGTAGTTGTTGAGCAGTCAGGGTGTGGGACTCTGAGCTGGGTGCATTTGCATCCTCAGAGACAAGGCATTC